TACAATGCTTTAAAATTTCAGACTTCCAAGTTCACAATTCAACACACCGCTTGCAATTAAATGCTCAAACAGTTTCATAAACTGAAACCTGCAGCAGTATTATTCAGATTAGAAAAAAGGCGCCCACACGGATCATTTGCGTCAAGAAAGAGATGCCTTCGTGGAGGACTTTTTAAGGAAACCTGGCTCATATCCACGTTACATATAAGGAAAACTACAAAAGCTCCCATGCACTTACCGGAACTTCAACCAAGTCGAACTACCAGTGTTCAGCGTTTTTACCACCCCACCGTCCGAGGGCCTCTGAAAACTGGTCTAAGCATGAAGGATTGTATTTAATTTTCAAGATTAAATTTTAATGGTTATGGAAGCTAAAAATAATTTTCAGGGGCTTAGAAAAGCTAAACTCGTTGTTCAAAATCGTGTTATTCAAAGATCCTAAAACAAAACAAACATCATTTTTTTTTCTATCGATTCGCCCTGAAAACTTCATTATATATCTAAAGCATCTTATTGTCAGACACTAGTCCAATTTAATCATACATGAATTTTTAATAAATTCCAAGGACTATTTTACTTCTACACGTTTACACACGTATAGCGATAGTTTTAAATGAGCCCGCTTACTTTATTTTTAATATAGTACAAAAAGACCTCCAGACACTTTTATAATATCTTATGAAGCTAAAAACTTACTGTAAATATTCATACTGCCTGTAGTCTACCAGAAGGGTCGGGTTGCATCCGCCACATCACATCACAATAAACATATATATATATATATATTATATATATATACGATTAAATCGCAAACGACGGCTTTGGATTCAGATTTATAATAATAACACACAGAAGTTTGTGTCAATAATTCATATGAGTACCCGTAAGCAATAATTGCAAATCTCTGACAATTCGCGATTTAGTAAGACCATAGTAAGAATGGATTCATATACTGTTGAACACGCGAAGCGGATGTTGCATTTGAAAATGTTTCAAAAGAGCTGAACTGAAGAACTTCCACCGAATTCCTAGCATTTCTCTATTGATACAATGGCAATACCCTAAAGCAGCTAATCGTAAGCATACCTGTTACGTATCCATGCACAATTAGGATTATATATGTACATAATCTAACTGGACTGCAGTACATAATCTAATTGTAACCGCTTTTAATTCTTATATTTAATATCCGATCAAATAATAAGCGCATTTATACAGAACATGTTAGATTCATTTACGTATTTCTAACTTGCCGTTCATGTTCTACATAATGAATTCATAAAAAAATGAAGCTCATTAAAAGGTAATCATAAAAAGGTTAAAAAGTTCTTACAGTTCGAGAGCGGAAAATACTGTTCCCCCTCTTCTGTGAGAAGAGGAAGTCATTTTTTCAAACAAAGGTAATTTTCAGCGTTCTTCACACAGCTAATTAACATCAACTAGTTAATCAAAACTGAAATTTAGCGTGATCTTGAGTAAGAATCATCAATTACAATTACTTGGGCTTCGGAAATTTCTTGTCTTGAATTACAGAGTTTATTTTCAATAATTTTGTCCGCTATACTTGCAAGGATGTACATTATGCTGATTTAATTTCGGAACAACCATTGAGAAAAAAATTATCCTAGAGAAAATAGGGTAGATATAAATTAGAAGTTTTGGAATCCCAACAGTAATTTTATATGAAAAATACAGTTGTAGAGACAGTAGGTACTTTTTGGAATCCGGCAAGATGAAAAATAGCAAACGCTTTCCTATTCCTATGCGCTTCTTATTGCTTAGATTTACCGCGTACTCACCTTAATGCAGTTTCACAAAAAGCACGAATAAATACTTAGAAAGTGATTTTCGGAAATTAGTTTAAGACTTACCATTATTACTTCCTTGTTCGAAGTAAAGGAAGCATTGAAATAACGAAAATTTTCGGGTGTCGTATTTCAACTAAAATATACATTGACCGCTATCGAATGCAATTTAACGATGTTTTTGCGGGACATCTGTACGTAAGGACAGAATAAAGAACTCTTTTTCACAGAACGGGTTGCAAAAAGGATTTAAAAGATACTTTTTCGTGACGTCTGTACGTACGTACGTATGTGTGTATGTATCTCGCATAACTAAAAAACGAGTAGCCTCAGAACATTGAAATGTTGTATGTACGACTGCTATAACATATAGTTGTGCACCTCCCTTTTTGGTCGCAATCGGCCGCACCACAAGTATATAAATATACCCACTCTGTTACTCGGCTCCCTGAGTTCAGTTTTTTTTATTCTTACATGTTGGTATTTTTTTTTTTTTTTTTTTTTTTTTTTTTTTTTTTTGGCTTTAAAAAATGGTCGAATTATGTTGTTCTTATCTTCCGGTTAAGGTTTTTAATGCCTTTAGTTAAACCTTAACTTCCTAATTTTTTAAATTTCTATGAAAAAATTATGTCAGCTACTTCTTAAGTAATAATAAAAGGGAAAAATATTTTTTAAAAAAATTAAGCAGTCTTAAATTGAATTTCAGTCATTTTTTTGTTTGTTGCAGAAGTGCAACATTGCGCAGTAGTGCTGTAAAATTACAAAACTTTGTTTACATACAATGAAACTTTTTAAAGCAGTTATTGACTTTGTTATAAAAAGTCTCCTACTTTACACTTTTCGCACTCAGTTTGAGTGTAGCTCTTGCAGTTTGAAAACTTGCACCGTATTCTTTTCTGACCATATTGGCCAATGATTTATCTCTATGAATGTCCTTACATGGAACGAATTGGGCAGTCACTTTGCATCTTTTAGTCTGAGACATTTGTTCTATTGAAGTATTACTAGGTCTTCCTCTTCTTGGCCTCGATTTACCCCATTTTGATAAGCATGATGCAACTTCAGATTGGTAGATTTTTGTAAATTCATTAGATTTTCTTTTTTTTTTTTTAAATTTTCAGATTTCTTTAAGAGGCATTGTTTCTTTAATTCGATCAAATCCGAGCTCTTCTGACCAGTATGCTCTATAGTTTGGCAGGTGAACTAGAGATGCATAAACACAAATACCCAAATATTGATTTATTTCATTCTCTGATATAGTCAAAAGGCTTACTGGGATTCTTTTGAATAGCATATCGTTTGCTGTCTTCATAAATGTTACTTATGATCTCTTCCATCCATAAATATTTAAAAAATTGGTACGTAGTGTCCAAATCCGTAATTTCTCTTGGGAGAGCGTCATCTCCATGGAATTTTATTACTTCTTCAATCAATGAAATGTTTTGATTTTTCCATAAAATATTCTTTGACAATGTTTTATTATTCTTAAAGAGTTAAATTTAAAAAAGATTTTCTAACTGAAATATACCAGCGACCGAGCAGTAAGGTCGCTGAACACTAATAGTTCGTTTTCGTGGTTTTTCCCATGTGTAACTTGTATACAAGCCAATTTCCCTTAGAAAATCCTCCATGAAGGCATCCCTCCCCGTAGGCAGATAGCTCTCGAGCCTTTGCCATAATCACACACACACACACTGGCTGAAATATTTCTATTAAATTTATTATCATCATCATCGGATGTTTTTATATTCTGAATTGTATTTTGTGAAAAAACACTTATTTTTAAAGTCGCTATCCGAATCATCATTAGATGACACACAATCAGGTAAAAAATGAACATCATCAGCAGAATATTCAAGACTATCCTCACTTAAATCGCTCAATTCGGCCAAATTATTCATATATCTAGCAATTTCATCTTGGGTTAGTATACGCTTTTTGGCCGTGTCAAAATGGTAACCAAAGACCAATGTTGCAGACCTGCAACATATAATTAAAATCAAATTTCTTTCAAACTTTTTATATTAGAAAATCAAAATTTCTTTTAAATGAACATAAAATGTTTAAACTTCTTACCTGGTAATTGTTTTCGTCAATAAACAAGAGGAAGCATAAAATATAATGGATTCTTTTTATAGCAAACACACAGTTCTTGAGGCATCAGAGATGTTTATAATTGTTGTGATTTCTGGAAAAAATGTGCTGCTATCTAGTGACAAATTTAGCATGTATTTCGTTGCAGTAACCTTTTTTTCTTAGATAAGTGATTTGTAGGTAATTAAAAAAATATTGAGTCTGTTAAATTAAAATAAATCATATGTTGCAGAAACGCAACAGTGGGAAATTAAGGGTTAATCTGCATGCAATAGTTGTAGAATTATCTATAATTTAAAAGTTGTTTAAGTGCGGCTAGGCCTATATTTTTACCAGAACAGCTATATTTTGTTTTACATCTGAAATAGTAGACTAGTGAATTAAGTCAGTCTCTGCACCTTCAGTGCCTTTCTGCCGAGTAGGACTTTACGCCAAAGCACAGACATCCTACCTCAGAAGCAACAGCATCCGTGGAGGAAACTAAACAAGTTACCACACATACGAACGTAAAAAAGATATAAGAAACTTTTCCGTGAAAATGCGTTTCTCCCAGCACTAGTTTAAACGGAAAGTTTCTCGCTGAAGACGTTATGCTCACGATGTGCTGCGCGTACGTACCTGGGACACTTTACGAGGCTGGGGAAAAGTTTTCGCCTGCAGTTCCGTCTCACGTATGAGCGAAAGAAGAAAATGTACTTCTGGGAGGTTCGCGTAGGGCAACTAAACTGAATGGTTAGAAGCGAAGATTGCCGAAAATGTTTCTTTCGACATGCAGTTGAATGTAGCTAGCAGTTCGGATGGTGGTTTAACGTAGATGACGGATGAAATCCCACGTAAAAATTTATTCAACAATCGGGAATAGAATTTGCAAAAAGCTATCACAGTTCAGTTATCTTGAATATTCTGCTACTGGTAAAATGAATGAATCAGAATTAAAGAAATAAAGTTATTTTTTTTAAATAAATTTGAAATTAATTTAATATTTGAAATTATCACGTTAATTTCTTTCTCTTTCTCCAAAAACGTTTGAAATTCCCACAGCAAAACTTGGAAGAAAAATTTTTAATATATTACATATAAAAAAATTTAAGACACACTTACCGCTACAGTAAGTGCCAAGCAGGTTTTACAGTAAACGGTGGATATATAATCCGGCGACCTGTAACGAAAAATTTACAAAGTAAGCAACAAATAAAAAGCAAACACAAATTATAAACCTACATAATAAAACAAAGCTTATAAGAATAGCGCAATATATTAGCCAAATAAGTTACTAATCTCCTCTAAAACATAAGGTAGTTTAAAAAAAAAATTACCAAAATGATTAAAGAGGTCAACGATAAGGTTAACAGCATTACATAAATATGACATCTTTTATGAATATGTCCTTATAGTTGATGGTGTCGGGGTGATCAATTAATCGAAGTAACGTATTTCTCACCTTCAAGTAACATCGAAGACAAGATAATCCTTTAATCTTGAAGGAACTCAAAGCTAAAACTTAACATTTAGATAAACAGTTCAAAATAAAACAGTGGTGAATTAAACTCAACATATTAAGCGGCTTTTTTAACGACCGAGGAAACAGAAACAGAAAATATGTTTCTTAAAACTAACAAAACGTTCTCCATTATTCTTTCTATAAAACCTATATATTTACCTCAGAAATATAACGAGCAAGTACGGCACGAGATAAAAGATGCACTACGCATATACATCCTTCTAAAAGTTTAAAAAACAAATAAAAATACAGCTTCACACACATTAGCGATTTTAAAGTTAATTCACCTAAATTATGTCACATTCTCCGTGCATTTTTAACATAATTACGAACTCCGCGCATTAATTGCGAGTAATTTTACTCCTAAAACTTCAGTAATTACCCAACTAATCACTTTCAGAAATTTCTTAGGGAAGAGGATGCAACTTAGCAATTTAAAGAGTTAACCTGGAAAATATTTGTATCACAGCAATATTTCGGAATCATTAAGAAAACCTGAAATCTCAATATACAATTAGAACCATTAACTGAAAATATTTCTGAAAAGCGTATGAAATTTCACAGCCTCATCACAAATACATTTTGCAACACAATATATTAATTTTCATTAATACAATAAAGAAGATTAAGATCTTTTAAGGCAAACAAATTTATAATTAGTGCAATACGGATAAGATAGCATTTCAGTTATAATCCCGTCACCTTGAACAAAAGAATTTCCACAGTCTTTCCGCTTCAGATAAGTAATTCTGAGACAGAAAGCAAACTTTTGAAAATAGAAAATTCTTATAATTTATCTTATCGCAATTCTGTTTTTTTCCCTTTCTTAATTCCTAAAGGTGTTACTTCAACTATTTTGCTTCTTACCAACAAACGCGTTCGTTAACTTTTTGCCAGAAATTAAATTTCACATCAGATAATGATTAAAATTATTCATCCGATTTATTTTTAAGGAATCGGAACATGGTTATTCTTATATAAACTGACAGTGTGTGTTTAAAAAATAAATTTAACTTCCATAGATAACGACAAATATTTGTTCATCGGGAAAGAATATCTTTTAATTCAATTGTTTACATGCCGAACTGGTATAAAATGTACATCTTCGCTCGTATTTTAATTCAGCGCTTCAAAGTAATAAGCAATTTCAAAGCAGTATATACACACTTTCAAAAGTTACACAAAATATAATACGAGAGCAAATAATTACCTAGCGACATAAATGCATTTCATCTCTAGGAAAAGAAATTATTTATATCAGCAGACTAACTTTTAAATCTGAATGATAATCTTTTGAAAACATCACGTACTTAAATTATGATTTTAAATTATTTGAAAATTCCAGTTTATTTCCCTAGTTTCCAATTACAAAAATGTTTTAAATGATGTAAAGATTTAGGTTTTGGTATTTTCTAATTTAAAAAAATCTCACTTTCTTTCAAAAAATATGAAATCTAGTTTTTTATACGTACTTCCTGTCCCCAAACTTATATTTAAGAAAATTTTGTGCTTCTTATGAAAATGAAACACAAAAAGTCTGACTCTCGTACAGCAAAAACTGATCGAGATATTTAGCAACAAATTTAAATATCGCGTTCAGGGACAGTATATGGTAGAAGTTTAGAGCGCATAATTAAGCGACGAAACACTGATTGATAAGGATATAACCATCACATATATATGGTTGCTGCAACTATGGCATCTCTAAAGGCGTTAATTCTTAACAGTATATACTAAAAATGCTAAACTGCATGAATCCCATTTCATTGGATTAAACACAAAAATATAACACGAGAAAACTCATATTTTATGTAGCTAATAAGGTCGCTAAAACGAAAGAATCCCCTTCAAATTAATTTTTTATTCTTATTTATTCGCCATCATATGTATGTAGATTGTATAAATAAATAAATAATACATGCGAGCTTTTATACATTATCACGCACAATAGCCTCGCACCATAAATGCAAGATGAATTATGAATAACTAATGATTTCTAAGCATAAAAAATACCAAATTAAGCTATCAAACAAAGAATTTAAAAATGGAAACAATGTATCCGTCGAATCATTTACGGGAAAAATCAATTCGTATTTTTTCGTTCCTTACTGTGCAAATTAGATTAAAGCAGCGAATAACGTGTGAGCAAAATAAATACATGAAACAAAACGATAAAGCAACTTAATAAGGAATATGAGAAGAAATTAATTCCTCCAGAAATGCGATTTTTACTGCAGTAATTAACTTCTATGCTCTTCAAGCGAACATTCCAGAAGTCAAAAGTGACGTCACGAATTTCATCACAAAACGCAAGTTAACGTATAGGTTAAAAATGCTATTAATTCCATGACTGGCTTTGGTAGAATTCTTTTAATACAAACTCATTCTATGCGCACTGCTAAAACTTGAAAGCAAATATCAACTGCATGTTATTAGCGCAAAACAGGAACAGGAAAGTAATGTTTCAGAAAAAGTCTCGAAAAACTATATTACACAACCTATACTAATTATTAGAACCTGAAAATTTAAACTTTACATATTAATAATTTTCATAAACTAAACTAAAAAATAAAATCGGCGGCACAAACAGTCTTTAGAGAGCCATGGGCGGCAGAGCCCCGGTATCTGCTTTCTAGACCGTGGGCTGCGTGGTGCTTGTGCATCTTAACCTGGACAAGAGGTCAGCTTGTCGCAGGACCTCCCGGTTTTTAATCCCCAAGAGAACTTGATACTCATTTTATCGAGTCACTCCAGAGATGAAACACAGACGCATCAGAGGGATTTAAAATTAGGCAAAAGGCGCAGATTTGCAATAAAACTACAGACTTCGAGATAGATCAGACACAAATCCCTCTTCTTCAAGAGAAAAGACCAAATTTTTGCGAAGGTGAGAAAAGTGACAAGAATTTTATGTCGAAAGCAAACGGCGGAGCAAAGCAAAAAAAACGAACGCAGCGTGATACTCTGATACTTGGTCGGTAAACTGGCCTGCAGAGGAAAGATAGTGTTCCCTCTTGCCAGTTAAAGCGTCCCATTAGGGCGTGCCTTGATACAACTGTAAAGAATATTCTCCAAAACAGATAAATACCTGACGGGGAGAGAACAGATTGAAGCGCTTTGCTTCTAAAATTGAAGACCGGGTAGGTCTGGAGACTGGTCGGTGTCGATGCTGCAGTCTCTCAGAATTCAGGCATTTGCAAAAACACAATACCAAACTGAATAGTAAAAGCACTAGGGAAGTCCGCTTTCTCATTTGGTCATCCTGATTGTTCAGTGTAGTATGCAGCAAATGAGCAGCGTAGGGCCTAAAAATTCTATTTTCCTTAAGAATGTCGTACTCCAGAATTTCTACAAAATTTGTTGCGTTATTTCTTAAAGTTCGCTCATAAAATCTTCCATTAATCCGTGTGATGAAATCTTTGATTAATTCTATTTTTAGATCCGAGTGTAGGCTTCTGTTCCTTAGAAAGTACGGACACCTGCGATAATTCTCAAGAGCCTTATTTTGACACATCGAAAGTTTTGTGTAGTTTTTCTCGCTGGCTGTAGTCCAGGCGAGACACGCATATGTAACAGTAAGCCTAATAGATGTGATAATAGATTCTTCTCTTCAAATTGATAGAAAGCTGATAATTTTTAAGCAGTGGAAAAAGTTTGAACATTACTCCATATGCTTTTCCACACACTTTGGCCATGTGAGTGAACCAGGTGAATGACCTATTAAAGGTAACCCCCAGATAAACTAGCGCTGTCCACTCTGGGAACTAGGGTACCGAAGTGCCTTACATCTTTCGTGATAGCTGTCATTTTGCGGTATTTTAAAACCAGCAGAATTTTCGATTTGTCAGGTTGAATACAGATTTTTCATTTGCTACACCATTTCTCAATGGCGGGAATCTTTTCCTGTATTTTGACAAGGGCGTAATTTGGCGATTTGAATTTAATAGCTACAAATGTATCATCGGCGTAGCAAGCCAGTAGCGTGTTGCAGTCCTCTCTAAAACTGAGGAAGTCGTTGACATACAGAATGTAAAATATCGGCGCCAAGATAGAGCCTTTAGGAACGCCCGCATATACGCTTTCAACGCTGAAGATCTCATTTCCGTGCTTAACGTCGAAATTGCAACTTTCCAAGAAAGATTTAATCAGCAGAACCAGGCTACGTGGCAGTCCCAACTTGATCAGCTTATATACGAGAGCTGGACGTCAGGCGAGGTCAAAAGCCTTGGCCACATCCAGCATTAGGATTGCAACACACGTCTTGTTATGAAGAGTTGAGCCGATGAACCCAGTAAGGAGAACGAGCTGTTGACACGTCGAAAGTCCCTTTCTACATCTAAGCTTCATCCATCAAGAATTAGTCATAAAAAGCCTTGACAGATGGCACTACGTCCGTTTTCGCTTTCCTCTGGCCACAGATTTTGATATAAATGGCTATCGCTCCTCCCATTTCTAAATTCTTCCTTGCTTAACTTCTGTTTGGGGGACTCGCATTCCAAATCTTCAAAGAGTATCAGTCTACTTAGACATTATTTTACTGAGCGTGTGGCAGTCTAGCTAGACAACGGACTTAAATATTTATTCATCCATCTTTTCAATTCTCCTCCCCTCGTCAAGTGAAAGACCCCGTGTCTGATCGCGCTCAAGATCAAAAAGAG